TTTACATCAACAACCTGAGGATTGTAACCCAGGAGACAGTCTCTCAGAGAGCTCCGAGGACTGTCCTGAGGTGGGGGGGACCAGGCCCATGTCCATGTGGCCCAGTCATGTCTCGACAGCAGGTCACAGCTGTTCACAGGGAACAGGATCTAAGTTTGAGGCTTTTCTAAAGCGGGAAGATGCAAGAAATGCGTCCATAAAGTCTCCTGACAGTATCTCTCTGAGGGCCAGCCCTGCCAGTTTCCCTAGAGCACGAAGCGCCTCATCCCGATCTTTGCCCCAAATTCCCCTCCGGGTGGCTGCAGGTGCACGGCTGCGGTGGCTGATGACCGGACTCCTGTGGGACCGGATGGTGGACAGCATTCTTTATCTACAGTCCCCTTCCTTTCGGGTTTCATGATGACCCAGGTGTGGGAGGCATTTCATGACCAATCTGTCCCGAGGCTGCTCATTCCCAGGTCAGGTGAAGACCTGGTTGACAGGCTGGCCAGTTTGTGTGCTGTTCCCGGGCGAGGGCCTGGTCACCGACAGCAGCCCAGAGCCTCGGGGCCGCCTGTCTCACTGGCCTGTGACAGTCCAGGACACGGTTCCCTCTGTGGCTTCTTCCCACGTCAAGAGTCACTATTACAACCACTTGTCTTGGAGGACGGTAGATTTGGTCAGCTTTTTCGGATCACCTGGTCATTATTTTTATCAGAGACTCAGCACACATTTGGCCACGCAAGAAAAGTAATCTTGTAACACAGGCCGCATGCAAGTACTATAGTGACATTAATGAGGTCAAAAGTAAGTATTGAAAATAAGAACTTCCATTAGGTGCGGCCCAGCATCGCCCCAGGTCGTCTGACCACTCTGTTCTGCACCAGTCCCTGGCACGTTGGCATCGTACATAAAGGCCACCACAGAGTCTGCACGCACAAGGTGCACAGTGGGTCATCCTTTCCCCTTACAGGACTGAGGAGGACTGTTACCTCCTAAGGAGTTACGTGGCTGGTGCCGGCAGGAAAGCTGATCTTCATGGCTGAGCGGGTGTCTCTGCCATTGTGTTAACACGTGACACAGCCGCACAGTGCACAAGGGGGGGGGCAGCCAAGGGGCAGAGGAAGAGGGTGAGTTTAAATTTTTCTGTCTTGCCTTAAAATATGCATTTCATCCCATCACCACCCTGTGTAGAATCCCGCACGCAGCGGTCACCACGCCGCACGTTTCAGGAGGACTCACGAGATGAAGCTCTCTTCTCCAGAAAGCAGTTGGCCTCCGCCGCACGGACACGAGAG